TATAAAAACTTAAAATAAAAATTGAAATAAAAACATCATTACATGGATAAAACTAATTCTGATAAGCTTGTTAATTTCCTTGAACAAAGACTAAGTGTTGATCAAAAAGTAAAGAGAGTACAAAGAAAGGTAGAAGAATACATGAAACATTACAACTATGAAGAATATGTAGATAATCCAACAAAAAGAGTAGAAGAGAAAATAAAAGATATTGAAGGAATTTTAGATCGAATGGATGAAACAAAACAACGAAGTGATGTTGTAATGAAATTTGCACAAGATGCAATCAATGATATGGTCCATTGGATAGATGACATCAGTGCTGTGATTGAGTCTATTACAACATCAACTAGTAAGGTTGCAACAAGAAATAATGAATTAGTTTTAAAACTATCAGGTATAGAACGTCAACTGTTTGAAGAGAAAACACGCGAAACACAAACAGATAAAGAGAAGGAAGAGATCCGAAGAAGATACAACAAACGAGTTAATGGACTTAATGAAATGATAATAGAAAACAAAGATAATACACCAATAATAACTTCACAAAATGAAATTATTGAACTCAAAACAAATAATATTGAATTAAGAAGAAAAAACCAAGAATTAAAAGAACAAATAATACGCCTTAAACAAGAAAACATGGTATTAAAAGAAGAGATAAATACAATATCTAATAATTTCCAATAAATTGAAGATATTTTAAAAAAATGAATTAGAAATATAAGTTATTGTTTTATCAACTTAAGCAAGTCCAAATCCAATTGCATTTTCAATTGCAAACAATAATTTTTCTTTCATTATTTCTTTATTTTTGTATGGTGGAAGATGAAGTGCATTAAAACAAGTAGATGCTGTTGGGAATTTTTCTGGATCACCATAACGATCAATGATAAAAATAAGATTACCTAATCCACCAACAGGAACACGATCATTTGAAGTAACAAATATCAAGAGTTTTTTCTTTTGGTCTAAAGTCAAAGACTTAGCAATTTCCCAGAAGTATTTGATTTGAGGAGACTTTGGACTATAATCTTTATATTTTGCATTTCTTTCTAATGCATCAAAGTCATACTCTTTAGTACCACAAATAACTAATTCAAGTTCTTCTGGTCTCATTTCCTATAAAATAAATATCATTTATAATGAACACGACATTGTCAATAATATCAATCAAAAGAAATAAGAAGACACATAATAGTTCATTCATAATTACAATTTAAAATGAATAATAACAAACTAATAATAGTGGTGATGAAACAACTTGTCTAAATCCTTGTTTAAATGCATCAAATTGTTTTTGAACCGACGATGTACAATAAAAATCAGCATAACGATCAAGATAGAGTTGTAAATTTTGATTTGTAACAATAATATCTCTTCCACCGGGAATTAATTCATAACTTCTATTTTCATCAAAATAATTTTGAACTGCTTCAAATGTTAGTTGTAATGAAGAAATATCATCAACCTTACTCATTTCTTTTAATTGCATAAGATTATTATAAACTTCAGGATCAAGAATATTATAATCATCAAACGTTAATGGAATACCAAGTAATTTCTTATACAAAATAGATGGAAATGAAATATCAAGAATGATATTGTTATAAATTGCCAATCCTAATACAATTCCAATTAATTTAAAATCTTGTAAATCATCTGCAAAACTACAAAACCAAAATTGTCTTGTTTTATTGTTGTATGTGAACATTCCAAAATCTACTTTAAATAACTCTTTCACAATTAAACTAAACCATTCTTTTGATACTCCTCCTTGATCAACTCCAAGTTCTCCAACAAATTTTATTTTTAATTCTTTTTTTAAATCAATTTGTCGTTTATTAACAAGAGAATTTAATGACGATAAAAGAAGATTATTTCTATCAATTTTTAATTCAAGGTATGGATTTAATAACTCAAAAAAGTTGTTTTTTACTGCATCACTAAGTGTAATTTGTTGTTCACACCTATTTTCTTCATGTACTACTAATACTCTAGTGTATAACTCAATAACAAAACTATATGATAATAACCCTTCCCTATAATGTTTTTAGTTTATTATTTAAATAAGGCTTTTACAAAAACAAACTTGTTCTGAAAAAAAAGGTCAAAATCATCAGACCATTCTCTTTTAATATTTATTGAATAAACATAAAAAGATTTATAGTCAATGAATTCATTGACTATATTCATTTCGTAAAGTATCTTAAATAAACGAAGGGCATATATCATAAACGGATATTTTTTACTCCTCTGAACTGATCCTTGTTTAAACATTTCATCTAAGAATGAATGAACCAAAAAATGAACTTGTCTTAAATGTTCAGGACTCATTTGACAAAGAAATTGATGTATAATTTCTTTATTAACTGGATCTTCAGTTATTAATTTAAATAAAGTACCATAGTATTTATGGTATCTTGTTTGATATGGGATACAAAGGAATAACAGTCGTTGTTCCTGTTGAACTAAAGAAATAGAATTAAAGACCTTTTCTATTGTTTCCGGATTAGACACATTAAATAAAAAGTTCATGAACAAGAAAATTGACTGATGGTCAATGTATTCAAAGTCCTTAGGACGAGAGTTACACTTGTCTGGGAAATCTCTGAAAGAAGCCTTAAGAGAATTGTCATTTATATACGTTTCAATTGGTAAATGAAAAACGTCATTTGGAGTCATTGAACAAATTTGTTTCGGTGTTATATACTTACAGCATTCTTTATAATCATTGATGGCAGTCATAACTACATAATCTCCAATTTCATTTTCATCAATAGAACAATGTTCAGGGTTTGATTTACAATATGCAATATCACATCTTGGGTTACCACACCCCTCTTTAATAGAATGGGTGATGTTATCCATCCTTGTTTGTAACTCATCCTCCGAGATTTCCATGATGATTTAGTCAGTTTCATTAGTTTTCTTTCTCTCTTATCACACATCAATGACGATATGACACGTCATCATTTAAGTTTTACTTATAAGTTTGGTTGAGGTATGAATAAAAAAAAGACTGATTTGAATGATGAACTTTATTTAAGTCTTAGAAAGATTAAATAGTTGTTATCTTTTTGTACTATTGCATAGTAGTTCACAAAAAGAGTTTTATAGTTTAGGTCTTGGTCAATAATAACAAAATACAATCATGTTGGTAGCATTAAATTTAATAAATTATTATAATTTACAAAGTGTTGATGTGGAAACAAGTCTGTTAAAATTGCCAATATATTTTTGCTCAAAGAAAAATGAAAAACAAAACTATTTTTTGTTTTTTTTTTAGAAAACGGTGAAGATATCTTTTTTCTATTTCGTAAAGAAAAGATCTTATTAATTTCATTATCCAAGTTAGAATGCAAAAGCTTCATTTTGTTCGAGGAAATAGTATACAGGATATATATTTCAAGTCCTTATATTCTGGGACAACATCCCCTTTTAGTTCAGTTTGTTTTATTAGAAAATACAAATGAAATGGCAACACTAATGTACTACAGGCATCAACTGAAAGTTCTGTAGTAACGTTGGGAACAACCCATACAAATTCTATTCTACCAATTAGAGAAACGTTAAATGAAATTGGTAAACAAATAAATGACAAGATGTTGTATTATTCAAACCAATTAATATCTGAGACCAAAATGTCTGAACAAGAACTGGTTGATGAATTTCCTATTCTAACTAAGGAAGAACCAAGTTATGAAGAATTTACTATCTCTAAAGAAGGTCCAAAGAAATTACCTAATAAAGTTTTGGACTCTTTTCAATTTATCTTTCTATTCTTACATCTTTCATTCGCCTTTAATCATCATATTTCACATCCCTCTTATCTTCCTTTATGTGTTAATACATTTCAATACCTAAACTCACTTAAACTTCTTTTTCATTATTTTAAATTTTCTAACACTATTGTTAATTCATTACAATCTTCTGATATCTCTAAGACAACCAACCAAAATACTTTAATGAAAATTAACGATAAAACATTATTGTCATTGTTTCATTTACATACGTTATATCTTCGTTTATTAAGTCAAGAATTTGCATCATTTACGGGAGATATTTCTTCGTATTATTTTATTAATAGATCACTTAATCCTTCTGCTCATTGCATTTTGAAGTCATGTGATAGTCTTAATACTTATTTGAGTGTTGGATCAATCACATCAAACAAATGTTGGAAATTGGCAAATGAAATTAGTTCGTTGTGTGGTACTATTGAAACAATTAAAATAATCAATAAATGGATAGAAAGTACTTCAGAAAACCCTTTAAATATTTCAAAAAAAGTTATGGAAATTATTTGCACTAATCATTGGGAACTAAAGAAGAGAGGTCAGGTTATGATTGAATCTTCTCATTTATGTGGAAAAAACCTTTTAGGGTCTCAACTATACCTTTTTGAAGGGTGTCTGCTTGTCTTTTCAAATCAAAAAAATGGAGATATGATATTTAAAGAATGGATTCCATCAAATAAAATAGTTTTATCTGATATTAAGAAATACTTTTTTATTGGAAAAGAAACTGAATTATTTGAAATGAAAATAAGTAGTCTAGAGAACACTTCTTGTCATGTCAAAATAATCTCAAATGAAGATGAAATAAAAGAATGGAAAAGTCAAATCAATTATATAAGAAAAGGAGATATTAATTTTACATCAAATACTCGTGGAAGTTTATTACAAGGAAAGCGTTTAAGAAAGTCCTCAATCCAAACAAAAAGAGAAACAATCAATTTAGGTTCTACGGATAGTTATACAAATGGAAAAGTAGAAAATATCTCTATAAATATAGGACTTACTTCTCAATTACTTGAAATGATTCAAATTGGATTTAATTGTAATCCATTTAAGGTAGAAAATAAAGAAAATGATTGTGTCAATTGCATGAATAGCATTATAAAATTATTAGATAAAAAGAAAAAATTATTTGGAAAAGAAATAATCAATCATTTCAAAGATCTAAGATCAAAAAGTCCTGATAAAGTAAAAGAGGTAATTAGTCTAGTACTTAGGGATAAAAGTATAACCCCTGACTCAATCATTATTGCAGAACTTATTCTTCTTGTTATTAATGACTTAAGGTTATATCTTAATGAAAGTGCAACAAAAAAAGTTTCAAATGAAATAAAAGAAGTTTATGAAGTATTTAGTTGCTATTTTGGAGATAAGTCTATGGCTCCAGTACTTGAATCAATTGTCGAAAATTATGGAGCTATAATCACCGAATCATTTAGCGTTATCGATAGTTTTATACTACACCCACTTCTTTTTCATAAAATTGAACATGCACATATTATTAGTTCCTTAGGATCTATGGTTGTTGTATTCGATCGATTAGGAAATGTACAGTTTAGAAACCCTGAAGGTGATATCAGAACATCATTCAAATTATCCCAGCCAGTATTTCAAGTGTGCACTAGCAAAGATAGTTTGATTGGGGTTTCAACAAATAAAATATTTTTTATGAATATGTCAGGCATATTACGAGAAATCCCAATGATATGTCAAAAAGTATATAGTGGATATAATAAAATTTATATACTAGCTGATAAAGAATTAAAAGTTTTTGATTCTAGTTTCTTATTATTAAATTCTATTCCTCTCGAAATTGATGCTGCTATCATGGAAATAAATTCCTTAGACACTCTTTGTATTTGTGGTAAACAAAACGGTATCAATAAAATGATATTAATTAATTCACTACTTGAAATTATTTCTAATGATGAAATTCCAAGAAACGATTCAGTAACTTCAATTTGTTGTGCCAGAGAATATTTATACATTGGAACGATTAATGGAATGTTATTAAAATATCGTGGTAATTTATTAGTCGACGAAAAAGAATTAAAGTGTGGTAAAATTTCATCGATTGAAACTTTCTCAAGAACTATATTCGTTTTTGCAAAAGACCTTCCATTGATTGTACTTTATGATAAAGGACTAACTATTTTGAGTATTGGAGAAATGTGGGGATTTAATGACTGTTATACAACCAAAACTCAAACTGACAAACGGTTAGTGTATACACAATCATCTCCTGATACCATTCTCGAATCAACACGAAAAAGAGTTAGTTCATCAAAATCTATCACAAATTCATTAATAAAAAAAGAGCGAAAATGTAATTTTTGGATTATTTCAAACGATGGCAATGTTGGAAAGTTTAGTACTAATAACGTCCATCATAGAAAAGAAGATATGTTAACTGAGACATATAAATTTTATAAGACTGAACACTTCCATCATTGGACAATAAATAATACCACTCATTATACATTATGCGATATTTGTCATCAAAGAATTAAATCAAATTGTTTCTCTTGTATTCATTGTAACTTAACGGTTCATACTTACTGTGTATATCCTTTACAATTTCAACAATATTGTACCAAGTAACTATTATAGTGTTATAGTTTCGTTTTTAACTTTTGTTGTTAATCCTTTTTTAAACAAGAAATTTATTATGAATGAAACAGATTCTATTTAATATTAATGCCTATTGATTAAATAAAGAAAAGGCTTATCAATAATAGGAGGAAAGTCTAGTGGTAATAAAATGATTGATAAAAATAAATAAAATAAATAATCAATATAAAATAAACTTAATAATAAGGATCAACAAAATAACTTAAATGAAATAACTAACCCATAAAAAAATAACAAGTAAAATAAAAGATGAAACACAACAAAACAATAAACATTAAAAAAAAGTAATGGTATTATGATATTTTATAACTAACAAGGGATCATTAAATAATAATAATAAATTATTCTATTTATTATGACCAATATTACTATTTAATTTAATTAATATCAATCATTTTTCATTCTTTAAGAAAACTTTGTAAAAGAAATAAAAAAAACTAAAATCATAAAAAGTAATTTCATGACATCAAACAATAATTATACCCGACTAAATGATAAACCACTACCTCCTCTTCCAATGAATCAGATTGAAATGTACGAAGCACCACCAATAGTTAATGAACAACAAAATAATATTCCAATACCAACTGATGGTGTATTTGTATCTGAGAAATCTTGTATTGAGAAATATTTACCATTAGCCCTTTTTATTGCTGGTTTTTTTATTCCAGTATGTTGGCTTGTTAATATCTGTTTATGTTGTTGTAAGTTTAAGACAGGATCATTATTCCCAATTCTTTCAGTTATTATGTTACTGGTTTATACACTAATTTCAATTATTAGTTTAATAGGAACAATAAAAGCTATTATTTACTTAACTTCTGCTTTAGAAAATAAAGACAATGGTAGTTTATGGGATTTTCTTCTTGCACTTCTCAAATTTATTTAAATCATTTAATACATATCCATTTTTATTATGACTATTTTCCAATTTGAGAATACAAAAATACTTTAAAACAAACTTTAGAATTGATGAATTTAAGACAATTTTATTATTTATCTTTTTAAATGAATGAAACTTTTCTTCTTTTTTATTTTAAGAAAAAGAAAAATTATTAAATTTTTCAACAAATTTGCCTTAACAGCGTTTTCATTTAAATTTATTGTTTCTTTGAAGGAGCGTTATTAGCTTTCTTTTGTCCTTTAGCAATTCCAGAAACAGCTTTAGCTACATTCTTAGCTTTTCTAAGATGGGCAACAGCATCAAATGCCTTCATTCCCTTTGTAAGGGTCTTAGTTTCAAGGGTACATGGGGCGGTTAATCTGATAACCTTGTTAGCATCAAGGACTTGTTTAGCTTCTTTTTGTTGGACTGGAAGTTTATTGAATTGTTTAGTCTTCTTTTGTTCTTTAGCAACTTGAGCAGCAAAAGCAACTTGGGCTTTCTTAAGTCCCTTAAGGCAAGCCTTAAGTTCTTTAGCTTTAGCAGCATCTTTAGTTTGAGCATAAGCTTTCTTGGCAACAGCAACTTTAATCTTAAGTTCTTTAATGGTCTTGTTATGTTCAGCAATGAACTTTTTAATTTCAGCAGCTTTTTTAGTTTTAGCTTCAGCATTTTTCTTGTTAAGAATTAATCTTTTAGCAGTAGCAGCATGAACTTTTGGAAGAACAACAAGTCTGTTCATGTATTCAGTTAATCTTTGGGCATTTCTATTTAAACATTCTTTTGATGATTCTTTTCTTCTTGGATCAACAGCAATTCCAATAGTTCTAGCAAGGTTTTTATCGATTTTAGCTGCTCTGAGTTCCTTCAAAGTGAATCCACGTCCAAGTCTCAATTTATAATTAAATCTTTGATTCATACAATGAACTGATGGTTTAAGAGATTTAATAGTAGCTGGGAAGACGGCTTTAGCCTTTTCAACTCTGGTTTGGTGTCTTCTAACTTTTCTGAATGGTTGTTTAAACCAAGTGTGAACTTTACTTCTCCAATCTTTACAAAAATGAATATTTGAGACTGCTTGATTGTGTTTCATTCTACCCTTCCCGGTTTGTTCGAATAATTTTCAGTTGAAGGGTTCCTCGATAGGTTTTTTTCTTTTCTATTGTTTAATTCTTTTTAATAATTTTATGGTTTCTTCTTTTTTTCTTTTATTATAACAGTTTTTTGTTAAAAATATAATTTTTTGTTATTTATTTTTTGTTTATTAATTTATAATTTATTGTTTTATAAAACAAATATTATAAAAGTTTTATAATAAATCATTTTATATGTGTATTTATTTTTATATGTTTTCTTCATTATAATTCATTTTTATATAAAAAATAAAATAAAAATAAAAGAAAAATCAAAAGAATAAGTTAAACTTAAATAATTTAATATAACTAAATAAATAAAAATTTGTGATAATTACTTTTTTTACAAACTAAATTATAATAAATTAAATAGCAATCAATTAATGATGATGTTTACATTCACAACAACCACAATGATCTCTTTTGTGACTTGTTTTTAATGGCATTTTTGTTTCAACGATCTTTTCTTCATTTTGTTCTTCAGAGCCAAAAGTTGTGTTAGAGTTTTCATCATCTTCAATAGAATCATCATAGCTTTGTTTTTGACAGTGATTAGCAACTAACTCTTCAATAAAAGAACATAAGTCAAATTCAAAAGGTTCTCTTTCTCCAGTATTAATTTCTATTTTTTCAAAGTCTTTCATTCCAATTCCAAAATTTAATACAGTATGAGGATAGTTAAATGTCCCTAACATTTCTCCATTTCGAGTAAAGAAAACTGTTTTGTTTGTTGAGTTCCATCCACATCCAATAACATCACCAGGACCAAATGACGTTGTACAATTTAATCCAACTTTTCCATTTTCGTTAAAGACTTTACCGTCGTCAGAATGAATTCCAATAGTTCTTTTATCCCACCCAATTTGATGGTTTCTAATCATTGTTTTAGTAGAACTCAATCCAACAGAAATCCAGCAATACTCTGATTTACCTTTAATACTGACCTCATAATAATGTACTAAACTAGGACAAAGAACAACAGTATTACTGTCTTTCCAAAGCATTTGAATTTTACCTTCTCTGTCTAAGTTTGTTGAAGAAACACACCTAATCTCTTTCTTTTTACCTTTCTTTGTTGTTAATGCAGTATTATTATATGTATTCTTTGAAGGTGTTCCATCATGAAAATTAGAAACACACGTCAATTCTCCTTCAAGAAGATCTTCAACAGTTATACCATATAGTTCAACATTAGTTCCTTGTTCTAATCCAATTTTTTGTTTAATAAAGTCAAGTGCTTCTTTTAATTCGATTTTATGTTCTAATGAAGAAACCTTTTCTTTTAATGAATTAATTTCATTTCTCATTTCGTTCATTTCTTTAAGAATAGACTTAATTGTGTCCTCATTGATACTACTCATTCAATAATATAAAATACTCAAAAACTAGTTAGGGTTTTTGTTATTATTTTTTATTAAAATATTTATATATCTTCTTTTGATTGGAATATGTTTTGTTCTAACTCTTTTCTTCTTTTGAAGTTTTTTTCTTGTAATGCTTTGTTATTAATTTTCAAAACTAATTCTTAAATAATATCATAAGTTAAACAATTAAAAGTTAATTTAATCATTTAAACTTGCATAAATGGAATTGAGTATTATCTCATTAAATACAATTGGTTTGTCAAAAAGGTAATAAGTTTATTTTTATTTTGCTTGTGTAAGATAGCAGATTTGTTCTTATCTCTAATAAAGTTTTTTAAAGTGAAATAAAATAAGATGATAATTAATAAACAAGTTATGATGATCATTGTTTTATCTTTTTTATTAATACATTATATGTTATTAAATAACACAAATTTGTCTGTTTAGAAATATTATTAAATAGAAAAATTTTTAATAAACTTCAGTTATATTTGATACAAGAACATTTATTTCTTTACGTTGAGATTCAGTTAAACACAATATTGCATAACAATTTTCACATAATTTATCAATAATGTTTTTCGGGACTTTGATAGATAACATAACCTTAACTAATGTATGAATTGTACTAATAATTTTATCATATTCTTTATCACAAAATTCTTGGTACCTCTCTTTATCACATTTAATTTGGTTTAATGTAAATAACCCATTATACCCGCTAATTTCTTTTTTAGAAGTGTCAATCATTTTCTTAGCAACTCTGTTCCAGACTTTCAGTTGATTCATTATACCTCTTTTTATGATTTTTGGGAGTAAGTCATTACATCCATTTCCATAACTCATTCCTTCACATAATATAATAATATAACTTATTGATTCTTCGTCTTGATCTGTCTCACTTTTTAGACTTGAATAATTTAATATGGTTAAAATTTCTTTTAATTCTGTTTCTCTTAAGTTAATAGTTTCTCTTATTTTATTTAATTTTTTCTTGGATTTGTTGAATGTTAATAAAAATTGGATTCTATCTTTCTTTTTATCAACCCAATTTTTAAATCCATCTAATTTAATTTCATTATTTTTTGCATGGTTGTGTCTTTGAATAAAAGATAAAATATAAGAATAACCTTTAATAATGGTATTTTCTTTAATTATATGGGATTTTATGAATATCATCTTTCCATTGTATTTCTATATCATTATTTTGTTCTTCTAAACTTTTCATCTTTTTTGTAATAATTTTATTCATTCTATTACTATAATCTTTCCATTCAAATAATACTTTTTTCGAATATTTCTCATTTTTTGGTTTCCATAATAATGGTTGAAATAGTTTTTTTTCATCTTTTCCATACTTTTGAATAATTTTTTTAATTGATAGTAAATATATATTTTTATCAATAAATTCATTACAGAGATTTACAACATTCTTTAAAGTATTTTCAATGTAAAACACTACATTTTGTGTTTTCATCATTTCTTTTAAAAAACTATGTTCATCTACACTTCTTTCTCTAATAAATTCATCTTCAAATAAACAGACATTATCATTTTCTGTGATTTTCATAATTCCAAGATGTTCTTCATATCCTTTCATTAACAAACTCATTCCTTTAACAAAACACAATTGGACATATTCATTAAAAATTCTTTTAGTTAATTTTTTTTCAATAAGTTGGTTTAAACACCATTCGATATCATTTGTCAATATTGTTCTAACTGTTGTTGGTAGTTTGATAATTTCTTTCTTTTTTTTCATTAATTCAACACTTCCTTTATCAATATCTACAATAATAACATCTTCATCTTTGACTATTTCTTCTGCTTCTTTGAAATATTCACTGGGAACTCCCATTATATAAGGGAATGGAGATGTCAATTGATTAAGTAATAACCGAGGAAGTAATGCAATTGAAATACAAACCCACTCTAATGGAAAAAGTAAAATTTTAAATATTTCAATAGTTTTTACAAGGGTGTTATAATTCTTACAGGTAAATACAATTCTTTCAGACACAATTATTTCACTCCAAATGTCAATGATTTCTGAGATTCTAAAATGGTAGAATAACTCAGATAATTCTAATTCAGTTTGTTTAATATCTCCTTTATATTCTTTTTCAATAACCATTTTCATTTCATTTATTATAATCTCTTTATGTTCTCCACACCTTATTTGTGGGGTTGTATAAAGTTGAACAAATTGTTCTTCTCTATTTTCATTGTTTTCAATAATATTTTTTAACCACTCACTCATTTCTTCAAATAATTGTTGTTCACTAACAATAAATATTGCTTCTGGTACATACCATTCATCTGTTGTTTCAACCCATTTATTAATATCCTTTAATTCATTATCACTAACCTTTCTATCAATAATAAAAACAAGACCATATCGCTCTTTTCCTTTTGAATTTGTTATTTCAAAAATTCTTTTTTCAAAAGGTCTTTTTTGTTGACTTGCCTTCATTCCATTAGGGAAACAAAACATCCATAATTCATCTAATAATCGTTCATCTTTTGGGTATTGTTGAGTTATAGTTCCACTTAATGGGATATTTTCAAAATTTTCTGTTGTAGCTTTCTCTTTCATAAAATAATCTTCTAAATCAAGGTCGAATGGCACATGTTCTATTTTTCCAATTCCACAAATAATTCCTTTAAATTCTTCTTTATTTTTAGGAACTTCTTTAGGAACAATATAATAACTTTTTCTTTCTGGGTTATAACAATAACCTTTTTTAATTATTTTATGTTGAAGAATATCCGGTGATTCAATCTCATTAATTAATTTCTTTTTTATTTCCACTGATAATTGAAGTTCACCAATCTCCAATGAGTCTTGTTCTAATTTAACTCTTGACAAATAAACAACATTTTTTGGAAGTGAGGACATATGGACAATAGCCTTTGCTATTTTTTCTTCTTTCTTTGTTGAATTTTTTTTGATTAGTGTAATAAAAAGATATGATGATAATGAGATATAACATGTCTTTTCAATTGGAAATATTATTTTTTTATCTTTCTTTACACCACTAGGAGATATTTCCACTTTAAATTTTTGTGTTGGATTAAAACAAAGTAAATAATAAGAAGATAATTCTTCAAGTTGAATAGATAAAAAAGAAATAAAAACCATATAACTAGAATCTATGAGATTAGGAAGGTATTCATAACTATTTTCATTTTGATTTATAACTTTGGATGACATAATAAGTTGAGCTTGAGTTATAAGAATATTGATTTGATTAACCCAATCATTTAATAAAGGCTCACTTCCTAATAGCTCAATTGTTTCGTTTTTATCTTTAACAATTAATACATTAATTGAGGGTGTTAGTTTTTCAATGGTAACAGTTTCTATTTCTTCTATAACAAAAGAATTAATAGGAGGTTTCATATCATTATAACTTTCTTTATTTGAGTATAACGAAAGAACTGACTGTGTTAACACCCAGTAGCATGGAGTCGTGTCACCCTTTTTAAATCCAACATGGGTTAAAGTTAACATCATTAAAGAATAGAACTAGTTTTAGTAAGATCTTGAAAATAATTGTTATATTTTTATAAAATGAAATTTTTAAGAGAATTTTAAGGTATAAATACAAATGATAAATAATAAGAAAAGAATTGATATAAGTAATTAAATTATTTCATCACAAGTTTCAACAACATAAATTCAAAAAAGGAAATACTATTTTTATTCTTTATCAGTTTGAACAACGTCATGGTCATCTGGTCCTTGATTTTGGTGAACTTTATGTTCTTGATTTTGTTCAGGATGTTCATAATGAAAATCTTGATTTGTTGGATCAGCACGTTTAGCTTGACGTCTTCCATTAATAAACATTCCAACATGATAGACAATTTCTTCAAGAATAAGACATAAAAGAATACAGACAATGGAAATATAGATTTGTATATAATTATTGTTGAGATAAGTACATAATAACCCACTCACTAAAGGTAAGAGTGAGTTACCAAGACCACTAACACATTCACTAATTCCCATGAACATTGATTTACTTGCTTCACTTGCTCTCATTGAATAATATGTTGATGTTTGATATGCAAATCCACCAGCTAAACCACCTACAAAAGCCAAGAACCAATTTACATATGCATTTCTTGAAACACCAAAAACAATTAACATAATAATGTAGAATAATTGGAAAATAAGGAAGAAAATCCTTTTATATGTCCAAATCATAGTTAAAGACATTACTACCATAACTAATGTCTGAGCAAGGAAATAAAAGAAGAATATAATACCAATGTACATATCAATTCCTTTTGTTGGTGTACGAACATCTTGGTCTTGAGCTAATTTAACATACATATTTGAAAGAACAGCAGATGTACCATAAATACCACATTGCATGATATATCCAAGATAAATAAATGTTTTGTTATTAAATTCTTCTTTAGTCCATTTAATTTTAATTGGTTTTTCTTCACGTGGTAATTCAATACTTTGTTTTGGAGTTTCTACTAAATCTTTTGGAACCTGGATATCAGCTGGTTCTTCTTCTTTTGTCATTTCAATTTCAACACTTTTATTTGGTTGCTCTTCAGCTTTTTTAATTACATCTATATCAACTGCAATATCTTCCTTTTCATTTTTCTTTTTGTCCTCCTTTAATTTTTTTAATTTCTCTCTAACACGTTTAGGATGAGAAAATGGATATACTACCATATTAATTAATACAAGCCCAATACATATATAAAGAGAATTAATTCCTAATGCACTTTTTAACATCCCTCCAAATAAAAATCCAAAGGCTTTACCAACAGACCAACATACTTGATATAGTGATGTGTTCCTATTTTCGTGACCTAAAGGGGCTTCAAGTCCAACTGTTCCTGTTGTAACAGGCCAAAAGAATCCAGTACAAAACGGCCAAATACAAACTGATACATATAATGCAGCAATAGAACTTGGCCATATCAAAATAACAGCAACAGCTATAATAAAGAATACAAAGGCAATTCTAATCACAATGTATGGATTAAATTTATCACCAATTTTACCACAAATTGGTGTTAATACTGCATATATAATAAACCCAACAGTTTGTAATAAAGATAAATCAAAAGTTGAACCACCTTTATCGTTCATAATTAAAGGTACAACAAGCCAATAAAAATAATTTGCAAAATTAAAAAGGAATCCTGTTAAACATGCCCTTGGGAAATTCCAAAAGATTTTACCACAGTTTTTTAATATAGTTTTACAGGTAATCGCCATACGATTTACAGTATCTATAAATTCAACTATTAAGTTATCTCAACTAAAACAATTAATTTCTTTCTTTTAAGTATTTCTGTGTTGTTCTATTTTTTAGGGTGTTTTCTTCTATTTACCTCTCATTTTTCATGTAGTAAATTTTAGAAGTATGTAGGTCATTGTAGAAGAATTTCAAAAATTTCCACAGAAATACTTTTAATATCTTTTTCTCTCTTTTGTTATATAAAACTCTTATTTTTAAATAAATAACAAATTTTAATTTATTATTGTTGAAACATAATGATTAGTTTTTGAAGTAATTTGAAGTTGAAAGATCTAAATAATATAAATATAGAATAAATAAAATAATTAATTAAGAAAGTAAAAAAGTGAAATAGTAAAAAATAATAAAAATAAATTATAAATAATAAAATAGAAGAAAAAAAAGATGAAATAAACAGAAATAACAAATTAAGAAAGATGCAACAACATTTAATTTCAAACACTCTTCAAAATGAAATTCCAATGTACCCAGAAACAATTTCTGAATACGTAGAACAATTAAAGAAATTTAAGGAATTTATTGAATCATATCATAAAAGAGTTTTAGAACCATTAGGATTTTATAATATGATGCTTAGAACTAAGCAACAAAAGTACACAATTCCTGAATATGAAATAGACACTATTATTCCTAATTTTGTTATTATATCAGATTTATATGAAGATATGTTAAGTAGTGTCAATGATTGTATTGATCTTACTCGATCAACACAAATAGAAATGCAAGAAAAAGAAGTTGATGCATGTATGGGAATAGTAACAAATGAGTTAATTGATTCATATAATGGATTAATAAAAAGATTTAGTCGTGGGTATACACAATTTGCTGTTGATTATCCATATGCATTAACAAAACATTCTTTTATGTTAAAGTATAATTCTCAATATAACCAACAATGCCTTAAAATACAAAAATCATCTGAAGCATTAAATTATGGTTTAGAACAATTACTTGAAGGAGTTCTTGAATACCCCAATGATTTACTTATTGCATTAAAAGCATTATTTAATAGTATAACTGTAAAATACCCAAGATGGTTTGAATTTTATGATATGATTCAGGTTATTGAAACACTTCATAAAAAGGTAGAAGATACCAAAAAAAATCTTAAAGATCATCTTATTGTTGCACAAACAAAAATTGATATTAATTTCCCAGGAGGAGTTAGTACAGAAGAAATTTATGATGAAAATAGAAGGCTTGTAAAATATGTTGATGGAATAGTAGAAGATCTACAAACATTTGATTATGATGGAACTGAACTTATACAAACAGTTTTTGAACCAAAAGAATCACGTGAAGTAAGATTTTATATATTTAATGATACACTATTTATGACAACACAACCAAAAAGATCTATCTTTAGTATAATGGCACATACAGCATTAAAAGGAATCATATTTAAAAAGAGATTTGTTTTAACACAATGTAGTGTAAGAGAAAAGAGTGATAATAGGGAGACTAATAAATATAGGTGTGATATTGTTGAAGATACTCCTCAAAAAACATTTGTTACAGTTGAATTTGAAGATGACGCCACTCTTCAAATTTTTATTCAAAACCTTGTTAGTGCAAAGTTAGAATTTGCTAAAACTCAATGTTTTGGTGTTACTCCAAAAGATTTCTTATCAAAAGTAAAACAAGAAAAAGGAAGACTTATTCCTAGATTCTTTAGTTATTGTACTTCTGTAGCTATTTCACGTGGAATTAATGAAGAAGGAATATTTAGAATTAGTTCAGAACAAAAGAATATTACTAGACTTATTAGTCGTATTGATAATGGAGAATGGAATTTTGAAATTGTTAATCCTCATGACGCGGCTAATCTTATTAAAACATATTTAAGAACATTACCAGTTAGTATTGCTGGAGATAAATTAGATGAATTCATGGATGCATTAGAAGAACCAGCCCCAAGTGAAGCAATTAAAAAAGTATTTGAAACTATGCCAGAATGTAATGTTGCTATGATGTATGTTTTTGCATTAGTGTTAAAAGCAGTCGAAGCTAAAAAAGAAGTTAATAAAATGGGAATAGATAATTTATGTATTGTAGTTGCACCAACGTTTTTCTGGAAAAAGGGAGAAATACAAAGACAAAATGGATTTGAGATAGTTCAATATATGGTAAATCATTTTGAAGTTTTTGATGCTATTAGACAACGTGTTGATGAAGAATTAAAAAAAGATGAAGAAAGAATTAAAAAAGATGAAGAACGAGCAAAGGATAGAAGAGAGTTTGTTTTCGGAAAAGCATCAGAAGAAGAAAAGAAAAGAAAGAAAATCGAAGATGAAATACCAACAATGACTGTTGATGAATTTAAGAAAGCTAAATTACTTGAAATACTTGAAAAAGAAAGAAAAGAAAAAGAAGAGTATAAAGAAAGGAAAAGACTTGAAAGAGAACAAAAAGAAAAAGAAGAAGCAGAAAAAAGAAGACTTCAAGAAGAGGAAATGGAAAAAGAAAGACTTGAAGCAATTGAAAGACAAAAAGAAATTGATCGTTTAGAAGAAGAAGAAACAAAAGCAAAAATTGAAAGAGAAAAGAAAAGAGCAGAAATTGAAAGAGAAATGGCTGAAATGGAAAAGAAAGAAAAACAAAGACAATTAGAGGAAGAGAAAAGAATAAAAGAAGAAGAGCTTAAACGAATTGAAAATGAAATCAAAAGAAAAGAAGAGGAATTAAAAAAACAAGAAGAAGTAAGAAAGAATGTTGCCCAAATCATAGGTACTTGTTGTGTTTGTAATAGTAATGTATTAGATACAGAAGATTCACTTAATGCTGGTAAAAGATTAGTACATGAACGTTGTTTTGTTTGCAAAGTTTGTAAAGAGAAAATTTCAGGAAAATTTGCATGGAGAGAAAATGGGTTTATTTGTGGAAATTGTGTTAGTAAAGAAAATAATTCAAGTCAATCAACTGGAAGTTCAAATTTGTGTGGAAAATGTGGAAAACCAGTAGAAGGAAAAATATTAAAAGCTATGGGAAAAGTATGGCACCATGAATGTTTTATTTGTGCTAAATGTGGTGGAAAAATTTCAGGTGGTTTTGTTAATTGGGATGGAAAACCAGTTTGCAAGAATTGTAAAGATTCAATATAACAAAATATTGATGGATAATCTTTAATTAACACATTCTTTTTTCAGAATTTTAAATTGTTTAAAATATGATAAATTAAAATTTTGTTGTTTTTTCTTTAAAAAAGAATTAAAGACAATATAATAATAAATAATTTAATAATAATAATATAAATAACATTCTTTATAACAAATTTATTTATAACAAAAAAATAAAAATAGAAGAAAAATATAAAAAGAAAATTCTTTTTATTTATTTTTAAATCAGATCACATCACTTAGAAAGATCTACCTGAATCCTATTAAGTCTTCTTCTTTCTCAGGGATTGTTATTAAAACTTTACTTTTATCAAAGAAGTAATAGGAAGAAATATAAATATAAAATAAGAAGAATATGTCCTTTTATAGACCAGAACTCGCATTATAATAAGTAAAATATGAACACTACTGAGTACCTTGTTGATTCTCCAAAGACTTCTTATAGAGATATTAAGAAACAATACTTTGACAAGATTAATATATCTTTAAAAGACTCTCAATTTGAAGAAGATGAATTTTTATGCTCTGTTCCAACAATAGAAAAACCAAGAACAATATCAAAACCAATGAAAATTCCTAAAGACGTTTGTTACAATTTATTAAGTGGGGTTTTTCAAAATGTATTTATTGTCTTAGAAAAATTCATTAGGAGATGATGTATTAAAATATATGTTAAAAGGAAGTGATGATGAGGTAAGTTGTTCTCCTCCTTCAAATTTTAAATTTTAGAAACAAACTGCAAAAAATTGTTTTTAAGTTTAAGGTATATTTCTTTTATTGATTTAAGAAATAAAAAAGAAGAAATAATTATCTGTGTTATAAATTAATTGTTAAAAATATTTTAGTTTAATTTATGGTAATGAGTTACTGAAATTAAGTGATAATGATAGAAATAAGAGTTTAGATAATTTGTTTAAGTACATAGTTATTAATTTAATAATTTTGAAAGAATAATAGTGATTATTGTTTCTATTAAGTTTAAAATATATTAAAATTTAATTTCTTTGAAACTTAATTATGATAAAGAGTGTTTTGTTTTAATTCTCTGAGGAGAATTGAAAATTATTTGTTATAACTCCTTCAGAAAGAAAATAAGGAGTTATGAACTAATTGTAACAATAAAAAAGGTAATAAAGTAGTGTGTATTTACTATATTCCTTTTGAAAAATAAATTTTGTTTTATACAAACAATAAAAGTATTTTAAAGCTTTTATATAAAATAATATTTCAATTAGTATTATTGTTGTTTTAAATATCTTATAACTATCTAGCTATCTTATTTTAAAATTTTATAACAACATATTTAATTTTAATTATTCAATTACTTATCTTTTTGATTATTAAAAGAAATATGACAATAACATAAAACACTTAAAATAAAGATTAAATGAAGGAAACATCCAAGGGAACAAAAATATAAAATAAAATTTATGAGATGTATGTTATTAAATGAGAAGAATAAATCCAGGTTCTTATTCTAATATTTTTATAAATTAACTTTTTCATAATATTTTTTAGGATTAAGAATAGATTTTAATATTAATAATAAATAACAAAATCTGAATATTTTATATAGTGTGATTATATATTTATTGATAGATACTTAAGATTTATTTGATAGTATGATTAAAGAATCTTTTGTTTTCAGTTCAAAAGTGTAATCTTCATTTTGACTAAATATTTTTTTTCATTACTTAATAGAAAAGTTTTTCTTAAAAATTATCATTTGTAAGTAAACAAATAAGAAGTTTAAAAGTAAAACTAAATCGTTGTTTCAAAAATAATTTGAATTGATTAAGTACTTTAGTATAAAGTGGGTCAATTGAATAATCAAATCTAAACCAAATATGTTAAATATGAAAGTATTGGCTTAAATCAGTAAAGGTTAATAAATAATTTTTTTTATCAATTATCAGTAATGGAAAAAAATAGTAAAAAATAAAACCAATTATTGTTTAAAGTCTTTGAATATTTATTTAAAAAAGTATAAAGAGATAATATCGTCGTTAGTTTCATTAATTAATAATAACAAATGATAAGTTCATAGAGTTTATTATTTATTTGTTAATGTATAATAATATTATTTTTAAAGCATTATTTCTAATGACCATTAATCAATAATAAGTCTATACTTAATAAAATTTTATGTTTAGACTCTAGTTTTAAGTGATTATATTATTCAATTAAATTATTGACACTAATATTTGATAATAAAAAAATTAATAGATTATTTATTGATAATTTTATTTTTTTTATTCTGAATTTATCGTTATAATACAATACCATAATTCCTAAATAATCTTTATGATTACTTTCTTAAAGAAGTATTTTAATATGATGAAGTTAATATTCAATAGATTTTTAAAAATTAATCAATTGTTAACGAAAGTTCTTTTATAAAAGAAGTTATTAAAAAATAATAATGGTTTATAATATGTTTTATAGGAATCAGTACATTTAAATATATAATAAGTATATCCTGATTTAATTGTTCATAAATAAAAATTTATTGAAAAATAAAGTTGAGAATAAGAAAGAATAAATGTGCAATTTAACAACAACCACTTTCAGACTTTGTTTCAAGTGCAATAGGAACGGGGCTTAAAGCATCACCATTATCTTCTTCTTTATTTTCTATAATAACTTTAACGACTTCCATAAATAAGTCATTAACCCCTTGGGCTGTTGCAGCACTTGTTTCTATATATGAATAATTTCTTCCTTCACACCACTGACGAGCGCTTTCAGTTGAAACTAACCTCGGTTGGCAATCCACTTTATTTCCACATATAATAATTGGCACGTCTTTTCCATTGAGTGCCCGAGAATATTCATTAATCCATGTATCAATAGCAGTAAATGAGCTTGTATTTGTTACATCAAACACAATAATTGCTCCATCACTTCCTCTATAGAAAGATGAAACCATACTTGAAAATTTTTCATGACCAGCTGTGTCCCAAATTTGAAGGTTATATTCTTTATTTTCAACGTAGACTGTTTTAGCCAAAAAATCACATCCAATTGTTGTTTTATATGTTGAGTCAAATTTATTCATTACATATCGTTGTATTAATGATGTCTTCCCAACTCCACTTTCTCCAATTAAAATTAGTTTAAGCATATTGTAATGAATATTTATTTACCTTCTTTTGAAGTTCTTTTTCTATTACTATTTAAATGACTTAGTTTTTATTATTTCTTATTTCATTTATTCATAAAATTTTCTTTTTTTATTTATTTACTTATTTTTTTTGGTAAAGAATAAAATACTTCTTAATTTGCTAGTCTCTTTATTGCCAACAATAATTAGTCAGACTCCCTGAAAAATAGTTTCAGCCAATGGTTTAACACTCTTAAGACTATATAACTAATATCAGGTATTACCAATTTATTTTTTTTAAATAAACTTTATTTTTGCTATTATAACATTGTCATAAATAACAAAAAATTTGAATTTTTATTTAACAATCATCCTAAACTTAATATTAATTATTGTCTTTTAAGATTTTCTAAACTGAAAAGGATAAATGTTTTAATTATTTTAATTATATAATCGTAATCTAAAAATTCGAGAAAAATAAATTTTTCAGATTTAAATTATTAAAATAAAGTTCTATAAATCATTCTTTAGGACTATGAAAAATATTATGTAAAATTTAAAATTGTTTTAAATTATTTATCTTTGACAAGTATCAAAAGAGAATGTAACAATAAGATTTACTATAAGAAAAGAAATTATTATTATACGTTTACGGTCAGTTGTGTTTTTAATGTAACATTTATTAAAATTTACAAATGAATTTATTAGTTTCGTTATTTTTTGAAAAAGTTGGTAGAATAAGTTTTTTTTAGGGATTTTAATTTTAAAAATTAATTGACATATTAAAAACATGAAATTCTTAGATTATTAATTAATAAAAAAAAGAAAATGATAAATGAATAAAATAATTCAGTTATAATAGAAAATTCTAATTAAATTCGTTGTTTATATATTCAAAATTCCTGTTTTTTTAATTAATATAATATTAAAATAATAAACTTATTTTTGAAGAATATTTTACTGTGTTTGGTTGAAGAAACTGTTAAATATTCATTATATTATTATGAAGAACATCACCATCTTCTTGCTGATTGTTTTATTAGTTACTGTTGATGCCCGAAGATCAAATAAAAAGTCTTCTGCACGTAAAGCAGCTCCACGAAGATCTCTTAAATCGAATTCTTTTTCAACAAAAATAAGAAGAACTAAGAGAAAAGTAACTGCTAAAGCTGCTCAAATAAGAAGAAGAAATACACAAAAACGATTAAAAGCTACACGCCAAATTTCAGATATTCGAAAAAAAGGAAAAAAGCTAGTAGTTAAGACTTTAAAGAATGCATTTAATTCTGCAAAAAAGTTTAAAAATAATTCTTTCAAAAAGGTATTAGGAAAAGGACGACTTATTAGAAGTAATATTAAAAAAGGATTGAACAATAGAAAAAGGTCATTATCAAATATTCTTAATAAAGGGAAAAAAAAATCAAATAGTATTATTAAAAGAGTGTCTAAGAAAGGTAAGAGCGCAATTAAAAATATAAAAAGCATTGTCAAGAAAGGTAAAAATACTATAAACACAGTTAAAGGAATAGTTAAGAAAGGTAAAAATAAACTTAACAGTTTCAAAGAAACAGCTAAAAAGAGAAGAAAGGATGCACTTAAAACATTCAAAGAAAATGCTATAAAGAAAGGAAAGGCTGTTATTGAATCTGCTAAAAATAAAGGAAGGGTTATTATTGATGCTGCTAAAAAGAAAGGGAAAAAGATCGCTAATACTTTAACCTCAAAGTTAGCTAAGATTCAAAACAAAAAGGAAAATGTTAAAGAAGTAATTAAAAATGCCTATAAAACATGGAAAGAACAAAATGACCAAGACTCACTGAATAGTTTTATCAACGACCAAACCAGTGGATCATCAGGATACTCTGGAACAACTGGAAATTCT